TGCCACAAGCGACGACAGTGTTGTGGATTTGAACCTAAACCCTACGGGGAATATTAATATGAATAACGACTTGTCGGTGAATAATGTAAATATTACAACTAATGTAACAATAGGAGGTGAAATTGACATAACAAGCAATTTGACAGTAAAGGGGGATATTGAATTAACAAACGCTAACACAAGTATTGAAAGATATACTAATGCTACTAAATCTAATATATCATTGGATTTAACAATTAATGAAACCGCGAACGCTATAAGATTAATTAATGGAACTAATGACGATACTGACACAAATACATATATAGAATGCAATAATACAACAGGAGGAACAACATTTTTTAAACCGACATATTTCAAGGATAAAACTGATAATTTCAATATTTCTAACAATTCAGGACTTACAATTTACAAACCAACAACAGACGCCAGTAATGTTGTAGCGATTGCCAATAACAGTGGGAAATTAAGATTTAGAGGTTTTAGTATTGATGCTTATAATACCAATGACACATCGCAACAGCTATTTTTGAATATGAATAATTCTAACGCGGTGAGATGTAACAAGTTAGGGATAGGAGCTAATGCTGTTGTAGATGTTCTTAACGTTAATGGTGGCAATTCTAACTTTAGTTCTACTGTAAGGATTAACGGTGCTACAACCTTTAATAATGAAATATTAATATGGAATAATAGCAAAATATATAGAAGAGCAGACGCTAATAATTCATTAAATTTAATAACAAATGACGAAATAAATGTATCTTTTCAAGCAAACAGAGCAACCGATCCAACAACAGCATCTATCGCTTTACAATTAAATGACACTAATGGAATAACATTTAACAGAGCAGTTACAAATAATTTAACTTTTAACAGTATAGGAAGAATAACAGCAGAAGCAGAGTTAGATGTGTGGGGAGAGTTATTTTTTCAACATTCATCATCCATAAAGGAAACTTTAAACGGTAGTGACTATGATCTAGATATAAGAAATGGAGACACAGACAGAGCAATTAATTTTATCATCGGAACCATAGGAAGCACACCGGAAATTCAATTGACAGAAGGTAAAGTGAATTTATTAGGTAATTTGGAAATAACTCACGACGATATAACAGGACAGCAACGAGTGTTAATAAATAATCCAGATGACAACGGATGGATAAGATTAAGTAATAATAACTTATCAACATTAGACGCAACAACAACAGGTGTTGATGTTTATGGTGATCTTTCATATACAGGGTCGTTAATTCCTTCATCGGATAAAAGATTAAAGAAAGACATACAAGAAGTGAACAGTAAAAAGGCAGTAGAGTTAATAAAGTATATTAAGCCGAAAACATATCATTTTCACGATGACAGACAACAAGGTAAATCGTGTATTGGTTTTATTGCTAATGATTTTATGGAAACTAAGAAGATGCCAGATGAATGGCAGAATGTAGTAAAAGAAGGAAAGGATGGCTATTTAAAATTTCATTATACAACATGTGTGCCAATTTTATGGAGTGCTTTACAGGCAACAATAAATGAAGTAGATAAATTGAAAAAAGAAGTAAATAAGTTGAAGAAGAACAGAAGTGATAGCGATTAAAAATAATTATCTAAATCAAATAATATTATTAATCACCTATTTCAAAGCGTTGTTGAAAGTTAATGAAGAACATATTACTAACATCTTTAGCATTTGTGTTTATGTAGAAGAAAGAGTAAGGCGCAAAATTCACGGCTTTCTGATACATTTCATACAACGTGCTTTTATCCACCAAGGCGGAATTCTCTTCCAAAAATGCGTTGACTTCATTCATATTCTTGAGCCTGAAGATGAATAAAGCACTGGCATTTAACCTAATGATCGGGGCCAATACATTATACTTCTGCGTGGATAAAATGCACGAGATGGCATTATGACGACCCCTAGTGAATAATCCATGTAACAAGCTTGAGTATCTTACAAACTTGGGATCGTCGGCGAAATCGTCCACCACTAACAGAATGCTAAACAGATCCTTTTGTTTATTCTTCTTCTGAAAATCAATGACTTTATGTTGAGTGTCTATGATCTTCTTTAGTGCCACCGGATCGTATTCCTCATGGTATAACTGTTCTTTTTCTGCATCTACCTTCATTACATCCCGTATGTATTTCTTTACTGCCGACCAAGTGTCATCAACATGAACACTGGGCGAGAAGATGTATATTCTCTCAAACGATCCCCTGTAGATTTTTAATATTAAGTTCTGGATCAATACTGTTTTACCACCTGTTGAAGAAGCCACACATAACATCCGCGCGGGTAGCTTAGGCATCATGTCAAACTTGCTGTTTTTATATTTATATTCGGGTATGTCTATCGGTTCTACTTTAGGTATTTCTTCACTCATTAACTAATAAGAGAAAAATATCTTTTAATATAATGGAGAAGTATTTAGAAACGATAGAGGAGATTGAAGAAATTGAAAAGGTTGTAATTCAAGACACCAAGCTTAAAAGGTGTTGCACCGCTTCTTTAGAATTGCTTAAGGCAGTTCTTGAGTATTTAAAAAAATCTAAGAAAGTATAATGAGCGACAATCATAGTGAAACTAATGAAGGTGGCTTCCACTTGAACACGGACGGGTTAAACTGTTTGCCCTGCAAGTGCAGAAGAAAGACTTTTCACAAAGAAACTAAAATAAACAATGAAGGTAAAACAATAATTGAAGACAGGAGCAGTTGGAAGATGGGAAGAGGAATAACACCCGATGAAAACGACATCTTTAAAACAAGCCCACAAGATAATGAAGGTGTTGATACACTGACCACCGGGTGGGGATCAAGAAAGCCTACACCAGAAGAGAGATTAGAAAAAGTGGAGGAGGATGTTGAAAGGATAGACAAAGATGTAAATATTTTGAAGAATAATTTAAATATTATGGATTAAAATCTCGTGTATATTGACAGGCCATCTTGGCATAAAAAGCCCCCAATCAAAACAGAAGAAGGAAGTGAGCCAATGCCCCCGAGTGCCTAGCAAGTCTTCAGGTTCATAAGCAAACCATAAGAGTTTGGTAATGACATTAATTCGTAATTAGTTTCGTTAAATCTTGTTATAAATAGTTGTATTTATAACAATATTCTAACATATAATATTAGCAATGCCAGTAAGAGTAGATAAGATATTAGTTGATTTTGAACCATATACTGAAACAAATAATGTTGTTACTAGGATGTGTTATCGCTGTAAGCAAGTCAAAGACATTGATTGGTTTAAGCGTTGCTATTGTGCTGGTAAGCATTCTTACTGTTATGTTAAATACATTGCGACTTGTTCTGAATGCTTAGAGAAGTCTGTCAAATACACCACGATCCAGTAAATCTTAAGAAAATAATATTTCTGAGGAAAGTGACTTAAAGAAATAACACCTATATATATTAACAGGGACATGTTCAATCAAAGAGAACAGGATGAAATAACAAATAACTTCTTGGATGGTGTCAAGGTTCACGATTACCTCAGGGAACTCAAGGAAGAGCGACGGATTTGTAAATGCAGGGATTGTAAAAAACATGATCATTATTCCACTCTGTATGAATTGTCACTACCAGAAAATATTATTGATAATATTTACGGCTTTGCTTATTGTTGCCGTAGTTGTCAAAAACGCCAGTTCAAGAAGGAGAGGATAGAGGGAATTATCAGACGTAATATACTACATGTATATGATGTAGATAGACTTATTTTCTCAACTAAACATGACTTTCCCATTTACGACAGGGTTAAAAATAGTCTGTTCAAGAAATTGTCAACAAAAAGATATACAGTGTTCAAATGGATATATGAGGATTGGATGGATATTAAAAATATTAATATTCGTAGTAAGATAAACGATTTTGGTTTTAATCCAGATGTATTCATTAGGGACTTTAATAAAATCGTTGGAACTCTTATGAATGAACCTGAGTTTGTCTTAATGGATTAAACAACCTAACCAACATAGTTATAATGTAATTATAATACATAAGCAGTTATATATTATAATTACAGTGTAGTTACAACCCTTAACCCTAAACCCTGAACCAAATTCTATAAGGACCCCTTTGCCCCTTTTGGGTAATAATGCCACCTTAGAAATAATAGATGGGGTTATGGTTATTCCTAGAATTGTGTTGGTAATAGGGTAGTAGTGGTGATATATCGGTGAAATTTAGGGGGGAGTATAGGAATGATCATCTAATGGGGGTAGTAGTAGTGATATATCGGTGAAATGTAGGGGGGATCCTAGGAATGATCATCTAATGGGTTGGCGGTGGCATTATTACCCAAACTGGGCAAGGTCTACTCTGACTGACTATGCCAGAGTATGTTGTGCTTTGCCTCCAGTGTACTGTAGATGTTGCTGTTGTTCAACCCCGGATGGAGGGTTCGGAGGGTTCGCTACGATGGGTTGACAATGAAATGGAGCACGGGATCAAGGCCGTACTTTGGCATTTAGAGTCTAGGGCGTCTAAGCATGGAGCTAAAGACTATATGAATGTAGGTTTCAGGTTCTAACAGGCACCATTTGGGATGCAGGGTTGTGTTGGGTGAGGCTTCGGGGCAAGCGCTTACCGAGGCTGGATGTTTCCTGGCTAGACTACCGACGACACATTTGGTATCCTTCTAAGCATACTATATAATATACTGTACAGTATACTATGTAGTATACCTCTGATTCCTACCATGTCAGCAGGAAGCGAAAGCCTTCCCGCTGTAGGACGGGGCTTTGCAGGGTCCCAAAAAGCGCTTCGCGATATAACAACATCCAAGGAATTCTGCAGGTACTAGACCGATACTGAACAGGAAACTGTATCATATATACTTTGTAGGAAAATGATCTTAGAGCATACTGCACAATACTGCTGTATGGTCTAAGTTGTTGGCTATAGTAATGTAAAATAGTGTACGAAACGCTGGATTCTCCTCATCTGCACAAACCCATTTAGCCACAGAACGCATGCGGCTGAGGCTGAGACATGGAAGGCTTCCCACATGCGAGAGTCATGAGCGGTAGGTCTTCGATTCTTGTGTGCCTCGACTTGAAGTCGCAAGCCGTCTCACCTAAACCCCTTACACACTCTAGACCTGTAGACCCTGCAGACCCTAAACCCCAAAAACATGCAGGACCCATCTCTTGCCTCCACGCGATCCACGGAGCCATGCAGAAGCCTCGGCTTGGAGTTGTGGGGCAGGGCAATATTTCAGGCCTTAGCCTCAGAACTTGAGAAAGCAAGGCTGGAGAAAGTTGTCCCAAAATTCTTTTGTAATCAGAAAAAAGGCCCCGGCACGAAGCCCATGACGTTCTTCAGCTGTCCCCAAGCTTCCCAGACCCCCGGGAGGATTTAGAAAGTAGATCCCCTAATTTGGGGCACTTTAGAACACAGGACAATGAAGGCAGTATGAGACGTGTGTGGTCTTCACAGTACTAGACACATGCCTTCATCATACGAGGACGGGAAAATGGCTACTACAGTGCGCGGTCCGAAAAACAAGAGCCTTGGTTCTGCATGATGCTTGAACTTGGGGCCAATACTCTGGTGCGTTCAAGAGGCTTTTCCATCTCAGCCCTTGTGCGGCTCACAGTATCACGAACAGCCTCCAGAGCGTCTCGCTCGCAGACTGCCTGTTGCCAAGGCTGTTGCAGGTTGGTTGACTAAGGTAGTGCAAGAACGGGACAAGTCATGTCGCTGACTGTCTGCTGCTACCTTCCACCATTGGGCACAAAGCGCCCTATTGCGATCCCACTGGGCATTGAGTTCACACCGAGCGACAATGATTTCCTTCAGTTGAACGTTCTCACCCTCCAGCTTTCTGACTTTCTCCTGCACCACGAAGCCCGTGCAAGTGGTGGCGTGGTTAGGCTTCCTTGCGTACCTCTAAATTTTTAATCTTTCTCAACATTGTAAAGATGCTGCAGTGGCTTGCCTGGGTCCTCCCGCCATGTTCTTTGAACAGACGCGGCCACAACGTAAACAAACATGGAGCGATGCATTACAGCTTTTACCCCCAAGCACCTTCTCACATGAGCTTTTTTGCAGTGACAACTGCCACTACTGCATGGGCCTGATTGCAGACGAGACGGCCTGCGATTCAGGGTAAACGGTGTCCTAGAGGCCTGGGTTTGCCACAGACATGCTGGGATACACTGTAAGCGGAAACGGTGGCAAAGGTTAGAGGCAAGCTTGATCTCTGCGAGGATCGAACAAATCAAGACTGAAGCTGTGATGCCGTACACTTGCAGTCTCGGAAGTTGTAAGGTGCCCAAGAAGTCCTCGCTCTGTGCAGAGAGCTCCTGCAACGCCTCTTCTTTGATTTTGCAAGCCTGACACGGCGGCGGCTGCAAGTGCTGGCATTGGCAGGGCTGGGAGTCTGATCAGGATGTTGCCTCGGTTTGCGCTGCCAAAGCCAGTGCCAAGCGTTCTGCCTCCTGGCGAAACTTTCATCGGCGACACCGAGTGAAACTTATGACGGCAGAGTCACCGAAAACTGCATCACAACAGGCCGCGAACTTGCGCCAGGGTGCATGCCCTGGACTCGCAAAAGGTTGCAACAACAAACCAAATCTGCGGTTGTGCTCTGAATAGGTATGTATATATTGCGTGTGTCAAACGCTGTCTCCAAGAGCGTAGCTACATGCCGGAATGCCGGTGGCACCTGGCGCTCGGGTGGGTCACTTGCCAACGGAGAGATCTAATCAATGATCGTTGTATCAACCTTTGACGCAAACTTGACGCTGCTTGGTAGGACTGCAAACTGTGCATTGCTTTCATCTTGGTGCTGTGCAAGTGGGACTTCCGCCCTGGCCAATCTAGGCCTCTCCCCACCTCCGCAAAAATGCTGCAATGGTTGAGCCCTGCTTGCAGGCGCTGGGAGTAGTTCGTTTCTTTCTTCCTGCCTTGAGCATGTTCTTTGTCCCTGCTCTTGACCGTTCCTTCCTTTCTGCCTATTGCAAGCATTTCTTTTCTTTTTCCGTGCTTGGAGCATTTCGTCTCTTTCAAGCTGTTATGAAGATGTCTTTTCTTTTTCTTTGCCCTGCGCATGTCCTTTCTTTCATTTTGCTCTGAGCATTTGTCTGATGCTTTCGTTCTCGCTGCGGCCAACGTGGCGGTGGGGTGACGGCATTTGGGTTCCCCGCGGCGCTCGTGGGCATGTGGCATGTCCGTCCATACCACGGTATGCCCTTGCCAGGCTTCGCAAGGCCTCTCTGGCTCAACGTCCGCGTCTTGGTCCCCGCGCTTCCTGTCCTGTTTGCGGCAGTCGGTCTCTGACACTTTCGCCATGCAACCCGGCCGTTCTCTGAAGTTTCTTGCCGGCCGTCCTTTCGTGCTGCGCTCCGGCCGGAAATGGCAATCCGTTTCCTCTGCCCGATGCACCGCAACTTTAGGTGTGCATGCGCCGGTGCACCAACCCTGGATGCACTAATGCCTGCTGTAGGGTCTTGTAACCAGTGTCGGGGTCCGAGGCCGTCCGGGGAGTTAACATATTTGCGCCGTGCTTTGCATCAGCAGTCACGCTGTGTCTGTGTCGTTCCGGTTGCCGTTCACAACGGCCATCTTGCAACGACTCGAAATTTAGAAGGCTACAGTGCCGGGGCGAGAGAGTTTCTGACAGTACTCGTGAGAGCTCAGACGGAAGTCAGCAACGCGGAAGTAAGTTGGCATCCCTCAGGTTTCAAAGCAGCATGCCAGGGAGCGAACCCTGCGATAGCCCGAAACAGGTGAATGGTGGTGGAAGGAGAGGCCGAAGTCCCCCCCCCCTCCCCCCCCCCCCCCCCTCCCCCCCTCCCCCCCCCCCCCCCCCCCCCTCCCCCCCTCCCCTCCCCCTCCCCACCCCCTCTCCCCCTCCCCTACCCATTCTCCTCGCACTTCGTATCAACAACCGGGGTTTGACAGGCCGCCCTAGCATAAAAAAACATCGACTGCCCCCTCGCCCTGCCGCTACACAGCCGAGGCGGGCGGCGTAGCGTTAAAATTAACATGCAACCGGGCTGCGGAACCCAAGGCAAACACAAATCACTCCACCTGGCCTGCAGAGGATTAGGCCAACCTTCAGGCTCCGGCGGCAAGCAAGCTAGGGGCAAAGAAGCAGAGGCCTGAAAGGAGGTGGAACCGGACAAGCGGCAGGTTCAAGCCGAGGAATGTAACGGAAAACCATTGATCTAGCGTCTTGAGCTGCCGCAGCGGGGCAGGGCACACTCAAGCAGGAGACATGCAAGGAGGGTGAGCCAAACGCAACAAGATTCTTTCCACTTGTCCAGAAAGATTCCTTCAACTTGCCCCAGCGTATTCCCCAAACCCCAAACCCTAAAACCCTAATAGTAGAAGCAACCGAAGTTGAAAGAATATTGGTTGAGAGAAACGCCAAAAGTTGATGAATCGGGCTTCGACCGGGTGGGTGACCGGCCCGTGGAACAGCAAATCACAACTAAGCTAGCTAGCCACAGCTAGCCACCCTCCCTGCACTTGGCCCTGCCAGCTCACATAGACAACCAGTCCTCCCCCTCAGAGTCCATCCTGCCGCCCTCCTCAGCCTGAGCCGTTGGTGGAGAAAGATAACTTTGAATAAACAGCCTTCGACCTTCAGAACAAGACGCCGTGTCGTAGCTGAATCTCAGTCGAAGGAGCTTCTTACACATGAGCCCGAAGGCCTTGCTTGCAGCCTGCACAATGTTGAGTCAGAGCTGCAGAGTCGACCACGCTGAGTCCTAGGCTGATGTCGTCGAAGAGGAGAAGAACCCTCTTTCCAGATTCGTCCATGTCTTGCCCTGGACCTGAGTTGCTGATATGCTATGCGCAGAACGCCACAGCAACGAGCAATTCGGTGCAAAGTTGCTGACTCGCCGAATCAGCTGGACAAGGAAGGGAGCTGGTCTCAACGTGTTATATTATAAAGACCTGCGTCGCAAACACCGTAGTTGCGAGGCAAACCCTGATGCAGGAAGTTGAACTTTGAACCCGGATCGCGACACTCCGCCTACACGAAACTAGCATGCCACTAAACCCTACATCCTGATCTGAACCAAGGTCGATTCGGCACAGTGGCTGGCTCGGCTTCAGAGCTGTAGCAGCTGTTCAATGACGCTTGATGCTGGAAGCTGAGATCCTGCGATCGGATTGAAGATCGTGGGGTGCAGAGTTAGGGCTCGGCGCGATGCAGCATCACCGACACAGCCGCATGGAACTTGCAGTGTTACTTGCTTCTTGCTTGGACCCGCGCTGTTCTTACACTCTCACCACCGAGCCATCTCTCAACGTCATCCGATGTAACCACCAAGTCAAAGGACAGAGCCAGACACTGCTGCCAACTCTTCCTGTACCGGTGATGCAATAGGCACCACAAGATATGCATTGGTGCAGATCCCTGGTTCACAGTTGACTCTTCTCGGTGTACTTCATAGGCAATGCTGGGGATAAGAACCGTAAAAAGGATCAAGATTGGACGCCTTCCAGCAAAAACAACAACATCTGCAGGCGAATCTGAGTTTAGACGCTTGCGGTTGCGGCCTTGGGGTTGAAAGCTGATTTCTCGCTGGCGATTGTAAGTAGTAGATCGGCGGGCATCTGTGAACATAGACCCACCTTCAGCTTCTGCAGCAGACTCCAAGTTGCTTGAAGAAGCCAATTGATCTTGAAAAAGTCCCTGCTTAGCAGTTGGATTCCCAATCTCTAAACCCTGAAGCCTGAGCACACCCGGGTGCCTCTCCACGCCGCTGGGACTCCTAGGCTAGTCACTGTAGTGTTTACTGCAGAACCCAGAACGACTGTGCACCACGATGGCAAAAAATACAAGAGCAGCCTGGTGTATCTCTTATACATATATATGGTTATATATATATATATATATACATTTATATACTGTGTGACATGTGTTTCCTATTACCGTTTTGTTCTATCACTACAGTGCATTCTATAGCATGCTGTCTGCCGTCTTGAAGCGGGGCTTGACACGTCTACGGCTGGCTACAAAAAGCACTCGCATCCAGATTTCTGTAGCACAAAGTGGCTCCTCTTTCTCCTTCAATGATGCCACAACCCATTGGATGAGCCTTGGCAGACACGGTCCAACACCAACTGCTGCATAAGACTACTGTTTAATATCGTATACTATAGTGTACTCCAGTATACTTGAGCAGACTACAAAGTACACTAGAGTATACTGTATACTGGACTATGGGCGTCCTTGGGCCTTCACCAGGCGTCGTCGTCATAGCACCGAGACAACGCATCGCCAAGAGCCTGGCTGAAGCTGGACTTGGCATCAGCAAGCTTATCATTGGTCGAAGACTGCACAGGGTCCTAGCTAAGCTCGTGCGAATCAGGCGTTCTATTTTGCGCAACCTTGCTCACTCTATCATGTTTATGTCTGCGACTATTGACCGAGTAATTACGTACTAGAGTCTTACTAGAGTCTGCGAAAAGTCATGCAAGCCCGTTGTTAGGGTTTAGGGGCCCACGGCTTCCGAGCACATCAGACAATAAGGAATCAGAGAAATGGAATTCACATGTTGAAACGGCGACCAGATCACCCCTGCTCCGGCAAACTGCACAACAAGCCATGGGGTCCTGCCAGAAGGCGGTATGCCTTGGGCAACAGGCTGTGCAAGCGCATGACAATTAAATGTATAAACCGATGGGGATGCAGCTGTGGCTCGGACATGTTGCGGGCGAATGGAGTAGTCGGCGGAATATCTGCACAACTTCCCCCCAAATCGAAAAGCTCTAGTATCTGATATTTTGGTCGGAAGTTTCTGGATTGTGGATGGTGGTAGTTTCGTTTTTCCCGTGATGGATCAATGCTTGCAGGGTGCCCTTGCTTCTACGATGCCAGGGACGTTGTATTGCGCAGACTTTAGTCGTGAGTCCATCCACATCCTCTTGGACAGCTTTGAGCCGGCCAGTCTGAGATCGCGCAGTGCAGCGATGCAAGGCAGGCACAGTACATCTAGGCCAAGCAAATTTCAAGTCTGCGCAATGGCACAAACAGAATCGCAATGCAAAGTGTATGCGTTGCCTTCGCTACGCTTTCTGCTGGCTCACATTTAGCAGGTAGCGCGCGCTCACCAGAAATGCGCGAACTCAAAACCTTCCCGCGCTGCTAGCAATGGCAACGAGAAGCCACTGTGACATGCATCAAACATACGCCACCCTGTCTGCCCCAATCAGTACAGCAACTGTTCGAAGTCACTCCAATGATTCTCAATGTGACTTTCTGTCCTCGTCTTGCCTAAAACTAGGCTGCTGATTCTGGGACGTGATCTAAGGCAGTTTCCACTAAATTCACACGTGGCACAACGATGCAGCGGCGTCGCAAATCAATCACTGCTCATTCTCAAAACCGAAAAGGCTATACCCCCTCACTTGTGATTTAACCTGCTTGCCTTCCTTACAAATGGCTTTCCGGCTCCGCTCCCACCCAGAAAGACAACACGTTCACGAATCTCACAAACATCCTGCCAAGAACCATCTGCTGAGGACATCTCGCATTTTCCCGTCCATTCCATCCACCAAGATGGAGAAGCGGCTGGATACCCAAGGTGAGACGCCAGATCTTGAAGAATCTCTGACCGCATGTCGACTCTTCGAAATGTTTCCCAATACTAGAAAAGAAGCCATATGATAGTACACTAGTCAGTAGCTACGGTGGCACACTATGACAAGCAAAGGACACTATTTGTATACTATACAAAGTCTTCATATACCAGCCCCTGACTGCACAGGGGCTCTGATTTCGGATTGCGGAAGTGGCCCGTAGTCTTCGGCGCAGCCAGCCGAAACCAAACAGAACCTACTTCCCAATCAAATTCAGCAGGTGTACGCAGAATGGTTTCAAACTACCCTGGTGCCCCGAGTACTCCTCTAAAAGTAGGATTCTCGGTGGCGTCCGGCATCCTCAATGCTCGCACAACCCAAGCCTTTTTGCAGCTGCCCAGTGCCATCTTGCTGGTGCTGAAGAGGGGGCCATAGGAAAGTACAAAGCTTGGAGGCCGAGCACCGGAGGAAAGCTCACGCATCTACGACCACATGCATGCAAATCTTGCGGCTGCAAACATGCCAGTCAAGGCTTGCGAGCGTATCGAGCGCTCTTGCGGCTGCTGCTGCGTGGCAAGCCTTCAGGATCAAGGAGGAACCCGACAAAACGAGGGACATCGCCGTCCCACCTCTACGTACAGCTTGATGTCCATGTCCCTACTCTTGTAAGGGTCATCGGCTGGAGAGACAAATTTGTCAGCGATATCCTGGTGCGCGCATTGACAACGCATTGTTGCAGATTTCAATCTTTCTTGATATGATGGTAATGGAGCTCGCCCCCTGAACAACCGCCAGATGCATATGCTTTTCGACAACCCTCCCACCTGGATCGGATCTCTTGATGTGCAGTGTGGCCTCACGTTCGGGCTGGGAATCTGCAGAGGTTGTGGGTTACGGCGGTTACGGTTTTGGCGGCAGCTATAAAGACCAGGATAAGCTCGCAAAGCATGCCACAACTACACCAATAAACAAAAACAAGCGAGGCCCCTTTTCCTCTGCGAGAACCTTTCCAGAATCCGCGCATGCCGGTCTTCGACGATGCGTGGCTCAAGGACTCAAGGTGTACCACAGGGCCAGGGATCCAAATGGCCCAATGCAGGTAATATTGACGACTTCAGGCTTTAGAACCCAGTGGCCGCTTCATGTTCCATTTTCTTGTCCATTTGATTCTAAAGTATTTGGAGGAATCAGAAACCCTGGGCCCTAAACCATAATCTCTAAACCCTAAATCTTGTTCCCGTTGGATTCCCAAGGGACAGTGTACACTGCGATGCTCCTCGGCAGTGGAGTGGCGTTCACGAGGCAGCCGAGCCAACGGAAAAGAGTTTGGCTCGGAAGTGCTCCACGCTCAGCTGCTGCAAATGCGACGTACTAGGAACCCTGAGGCTCCAAAAAGCCCAATCTTGGTACTATGTACAGACTTCGGGGCCCCATGTCGGCATGATTTATAGACTTGGAGCCCCAGGGGAATGTCGGAGGTTGTTCTCAAGAGCGTCCCATGGCGAAGTGACTGGGCCAGGCTGGGCTGTGGCCAACCGCGGCATTGTCCATGCCCATTGCAATTCCAACGTTCCTGGACTTCAAGCTCAATACGAATGAAGCAAGCTTCACAGAGTGCGTCATGTTGCGTGTGCTCTATATAATATCTATGTCTCTCTATGTATATACACACACATACGAGGCTGTAGAATCATCAAGTCCGGGAAAAAGCGGTGTTCAATCGGAGTTTTGACCTACGTATGCAGCAGACATGTGACGTCCGGATGTGTAGCAATGTGAAGCATCGAGTCTGCTCTAGATTCACGTCGGGAGTCTTTTGTAGAACAACCCCCGTAAAGGTTGGCAGATTTGGCACGATGTCACACGGGAGATCGGGTCTGGTTGGTTTCTTCAGTCCCAGGCCGAGCTGTTGCCCTTAAGTCCAGCTTCGGGAGGCTCCCAGAAGGCCCTGGAGGGCCTGGCAGCTTTCGAGCTTCGTTTTCAGGGGGGAGAGGCCTTGGGGCTCATTGGTGCCGGCGGTGCTGGAAAAACCTTGGCCTTCTGCCAGGTGCGGGAGACAAGATGGCCAGCCCGACACAAATGCGGCAACCGCACAAGACCAACACACTGGTGGCACCCAGGGCGACTCCAATGCCAAGCCCAGATGGATGCAAATCGAGGCTCAAAGAGTCCTGGGGCGACACCGTGGTCATGGCCTCCTCTCTGTTGACTTCAGCAGTGAAACTTTCAATGGCCGTAATGCGCAACGTGGCAGAAGTACTCGGCAGTGTGCCACCGCGATGGCATCATTGATCTGGTGCATCACGTCCGCCACAAAGCCTGATGTGCAAATTCCGGACTGCAGCTCAATTTTGCACTTTACCGCAACAGCGCCACTGCACAAAATCTCGAGTTTCACTTACCCTGCTTCCCCACACACAGAGTTTTTTCATGCAAGAGGCTGGGTTCTGAAGCTGCGCGGTCACCGTCAAGTCCAAGTCCGTGAGAGAAGCAGTCTTTGCCGGCCTCTGCCGTTCTCTGGCGCATTTTGCAAGAAAATCCTTCTGGTGTCGATTTAATTTCCTTCGGGTATTTTGTGTACATACCCATCATATATATATATATATATACGCATGTGCACCATATGTACATGCAAAGTTCTGCCCTGTGTTTGTATACCCGCGTGCCTGAATCATGCCCAAGTGCGAAACGTTGTCCAACAAAACTTGGCCATCTCATCAACATCCTAATCCTAATCCTAAACTCAATATACAACCCTATGACCGGAAAAGCCTTCAAATAATCTTCACAGATCCAACAAAACAGCTCCTTCCACGGAACAGTCTAGGCCGATTCGAATGATTTCCACTGAGTCTTCGCTGTATGCTTTTTACAAACCCAGAACTTAAGACTCACGACAAGTCTGCGGACCCCTGGGACAGCTAGATCCGAATCGAATTTCAACGTGGCGATGAGACTTATGTTACGAGTATAGATCCAAATATGAGGTGGGATACTGAGCTTTCCTCCAAACGCTAAGATTTATCGGTTGTTTCCATCGAACAAATACGATTCGTGCCGTGCTTCCCTTGAGAAAAAAATGCCAGACATGACAATAGCATTATGGGCATTGTCTCGTATAATAACCCTCAAGACTAGCAGGCTTCATACACACGTTCACATGTACGACCACATTAGCCGTAGCGGGAACCTCCTTAGATGGGGGTTTGCGTAGGGAATTTTACCGTATTATATCGGGGAGGAAATACTAGATTTTCTATGGCTGGCAAACTTTTGTCCACAAGCGCCCCTGCCTCGAAGCTCACGCGCACGGTGCCCGCCAGACGCCACCCACTTCCCAACGCCTCGCAAAGTGTAAAGGGGGTAAGAGGGGCAGAGCGGTGGTTGTGACGAAGAAAGGAGCCCTCTTGGGAATCAACCATGAATCCAACCCTCGAGCCCGGAGTAATGAAATAGTGGGCTGTGCACCCAGAGGTGGCAGCGAAGCTGATTCCAGGATCACCTATCTTCCAAGCTCAATGAAGCTTAGGAGGATCAGATGGAGCAAATCATACCTTCATGTGAGGATCTTGATCATCTCAGCGCGTGACGGTGTTTGTCTCGCGTTGCGAGGCGTCTCGTCTGATTGAAACAACGGCGCATGAGCTTTGAGGGTTAAGTGTGCACATTGCTCACAAAAATGCCACCAGCAAAGAGCGCCGCTGTGACCCTCAAATTGCTAGGGCGTTGAACCGCAAAAAAGGGAATCTTCGCTGCTGGAGATGAGTTGGGTGAGGAGCTTTCATCCGAAGACTGGACAGAAGTACTCAAATGGGTAGGGTCATGTAATGTCTCTGCGAACAGCGCACAAGCATAAATGACATATGAGTATGGCACATGAGTCAGTGCTGATGCATGATGTCGCTATTTCGAGCGCGCATCGAGCGTGTAGTGTAATGGCGGCGGACTATGTGTATGCCAGTACACCTGATATATGGGTGGTGATGACGAAGCCTCAGAGAGTATGCCCTTCCATTTCAATACCAAGAATACTCTAAGCCCTCCATACGAGAGGAAAATATGATTCTTGGTAAGTCTTGCATGTACGACTGCGAGTAAAAAACTACTCATCTTCTGTAAAGTGATTCCATCTAGCCCCTGCAAGAGAACAGGTCATGCAATCCTTAGTCGCGATTGCACCACAAGTATTTGCACAAGTAGTTGCTGTCAGCACCCCGACTGTGTATGACGTTGGTCTGTATTGCGAGTCTCCCGGCTGTTTCTGTTGACGGTACTTGACACAAATTTTGACTGGCGGATAGATGTGCGGGCCGGTGACAGACACCCCGCGGAAAACAACGCTCGTGAAGTCTCCCGCCAGCTTCTTAGACCTCATGTTCTTCTCATTGCATGTCCTACTTCGCATTGCAAACATTTCAAACATATTCAGGCATTCTGCAGGTGTGTGCATCGTGTGTGTGTGTGTCACTTCCGAGAGGGGATCGCGATGACTTGGTGGTGACGTTGTTAGATGGTGGGTTTGGTGTGTGATACAGCAGCACCGGATCCGGGCAGACGGATGTGAGTATGGAGGGGTCAGCGTTTGTGCCAGGGGATTTTACTAGTTGCCAAGGGGCATTTACACCGGACTCGGTAGAATTGGTTCCAGCTTCAAAAATATTGAGGGTTCCAACCTCCCTTTGACACAGGGTGCAGAGTTCGCATTCATCGTTTGGCATTGTCAGTCACGCAACTCAGCATGTGATGAGTGAAATTGGTGACTACAGGCTGCCACCGTATGCCATGGCCTCGAGGCGCACCTCGAGCTCCGTGAGGCCGCACACATTCGCCAGCGTGTCCGCCAAGCCTTCCGCACCTATCAAATCCAGACATGCTGACCATGTGTCTCTACATGTATGTCTTGTTGATTCTTGTTGCATACCGCTGTTCTACATTGACTCGTTCCCCTCCCCGGCCAGTCTGGCATCACATCCGCCGTGCGTCTGGACAAGAGTCTGCTGCTACCACTGCGGCTGCCTGTGGCACATTCACGAAGGCGTCGGGATCCACGGCGGTCAACTCGAAGAAGCCGAAGACTTGGGGAGAGGTCGTGCGGGGCGTGGTGAAGCTGGTGGCCTGGCTCGAAAACCGCGAACCTCTGCACTACTCAGCCACCTCATAGTGCGTATGCACACCGGGACACACAGGCGTCATCGTTACATCGTCGTACATTTCCAGTTTTCAATAGTTTTCAGCTGCCCAAATGGATGATGTCCCGTCTGCTCGTGATTCGTGATCTCTCACGAACCCTGCTAGATGATTCCGACATAGCGTTAACATACACCACTCCTTTCGGAAGACCTGCAGGTGTGATGGAGCCGGCGTCACTGGCTCAGGCCCTTCGCCAAAGGCACAACCCTCTGAAAGAGACAAACTCTCAAAGGGACCATTTCTGAGTCCAACATCAATTTAAGCGTAGTTTTACTGTAGGTTCTGGGATCGACCCGGGATGGCCTCCTTGACGGTGATCGCGACGTTCTGGAGGGCATGGTTGACGACACCCGAATGACGAATGACGTCCGTGTTGCTCTTCGCTCAAGCGTCGGGTGACCAGGACCTGTAGAAAGCATTCGTTGCAGGCCTGAGACAAAGAATGAGGGAAGGTGACCAGGGCTGACTCGAGCTTGGCCTGCGGGCAGTAATTCTGACAGAAGGCCTCCCCAACATCTCCCCACCCCAACCAGCCCCTGATCAGCTGAAGAGAGTCCGTGAGGTTGTGCCGCATGGGAGTCTCTGGGTCACTGGTCTGCGAAAGCCACACCAAGTCCACCCGCAACTCCATTCCAGGGGCACTCAGCGTCATCTCCACGAAGGCCACTTCCTGAGCCGTGTAGACGGGTGGGACCTTCGGGATGGCGAAGCTCGCAGAGTCATAGAGAGCCAGGCTGCCATCAAACTGCACATTGACCAGCGTGCTGCCTGCTATCACAAACCTGCCTGAAACCATCCCAGCAAAGGAAGCATGCGTGGTCCGGTCGAAGGTGATGCTTACTGGGAAGTACCAAAATGCCTGTGGCAAGGGATCCACACCTGCAACGAAGGACCCTGGCCTTCCACTGTGTCTTCTGTCCAGGAAGTGTTGAGCTGGCAATCCCCATCCAGTGCTGAGTAGTTCAGTGTGAGGCGCAATTCGGTACGTTGTTCTGACCGGGTCTCATTCCATTCCAGTGGTCAGAGCAAGTAGGCATGGTATCCAGGCTGCCCTGCATGATCGTGGGCACAAGATCGGGCCAGTACGCAACAGGAACGTCCTCAGCGATCAGCGGGAGCTGTGCCTGGAAGCTCACATGCACGAGGCCCCCGTCATCGCTCCATGCACTGAAGCTGGGATGGGGAGTTCCTTGACCGCATGGGCCAGTGTGGGAAGGCATGTGCTGTTAGACAGCAGCCGGCCCTCTGGGCAGGAGACTGGCTGGCATTCCGTTGCGCGACCGCCAGCACTGGCGAAGCCGGAAGGGCATGACTTAATGACCCTTAACTCTCCCTCGCCTCTCCCTCTGCACAGCCGGTTGTGAAGTTGAGGCTGGCTGTTCGTGCGCCCTTGGTGATGACCATGCCGATACCACAAATGATAGAGGACTGGGCAAAGGATCCCGTGAAAGGTGCAGACCCAAGCGGCGTCAGGTCCTGCCATACCCCGTTCGTGGCACCCACTGCGTCCAGGATTAAGTGCCACACATCTGCATATGACGTCTGTTTCTGCGGGTGGCCAGGCTCATCATTGAAACCACCCCAGATGAGCATACCGTCGGGGCTGCCATGTTCTTGTGGAGCCACTGAGGACAAGGCGGAGTGGCCTGCGGTTAGATTCTAACATTCGCAGGCCACAATGACTTCAGCACGCACTACAACGATTTTTTAGAAGCTGGCCATCTGGCCCTTGGACGCCTGCAGGGTCGCATCCGTGATGCTGATCGATCCCCAAGATTGAGGGCACCATGGTAATCCCGCCGCGCGGGCCGGGTGCCTGCCACAGTGATCTGAAGCCAGGCGAAGACATTCGAGTCGTCGAAGGTCAGTCGATAGACGTTGTCGTCTCCGCTCGCGTCGCGGTTGCCACCGAAGATGAGGAGCTCATCGTGGGTCCGGCTGCCCGACATATGGCTCCAAGATACTGACGGAGCTGTGCCGGAGGGCTGGATGTGCCAAAATTGTTGGGGAGTGTCTTCCAAATCCAAACGGTAGAACTGTTTGTGCCACCAAAAATCACCATCTCACCATTCACGGTGGCCCCGGCATAACTGTTTGTAAAGCTATGCCCAGTGACCAGTGTCTCCTAAACGTCCTAAACTAGGAAGGTCGCACTGGCGCGGAGTACCAGACCCAGAGCCGTAGCATTGCAGAAGTGGCACGCATGTTGGTCTCACCGGTGGATCCGTGCGTCAGGACTCCGAAGGCGCGTCACAAAGCGGCGCACGTGGCAAAGTGCTTTCAAAGGGTTCCGCTTATAATAGTAATGATGTAGTTGAAGCAATTACACATCAAAGTGCAGAAGTATCCGCAGAAATGTACCCATCCGCATTGAAACATGTTTGTCACTCGCTGAGATCCTAGCTTTCATGCCGTGCGGCAGCGGCTTCGCTGCTGCCGCATGCGCAGCCTGAATGAAAAAAGGAGTTGGCGCGCACGCACAATGGCCTTGAAGAGGAAAGCCAAATACGTCGGGTAGGTCTGAAATTCTCACCTTGAGTTAGGGCAGCTCGGTTTATGTGGGCACTGGTGGAGAGTCAACTTCCTCTGCATCGTGCCGAGGCTCAGGTGGGTCTTGGAGCTCTAACTAATTGCTGCAACGTGCTGCCTGATCTTTGGCCACGCCTCTTCAACGTCATAAGTGACGAACCCGAAGAGCTTGGCCGAATGCAGCTCCACCTGGACTTGTTTGAGCGCTGCAGGCTTGCACAGTGAAACTGTCCAACGAGACAAGGCCTCTAACCCATGATCTCTCGTTACCTAGCGGATGCTGTCAGGAGCTGTCTTCCGAAGCGCATTAGCAATGCAATAAATTTGCGGAAAACGCTTTGATCAGTCTTGCACTTTGCATCTGATGCCCAAACCAGCCTTCACAACCTTGCCAAACACTGCAAGGTGCGACTGGAAGTCGGCCTGCCACTTTGCACAAAGGTAAGACCATCCCCGACCCCTTGAGGCAAGCTTGCTATTGCATCATGGTGCATCATGCTGCAAACAGCTGCTCCGTTAGCTTGCATCTCTTCTCCGGTCCACGATGCGTATGCCCATGCGCATTTGTAGCTTCCTTGTGGCCTTCTATAATGCGTCATCATGTGCAACCTTCAGCCCCGTCCCTGTGCAAGCGTACTGGAAGCCACCGGGGAATCCGCGTCCGTCGCGTCAAGTGCCAGATATCAGCCGGTTCGGTGAGTCGGTGTGCTTGCATGTGTGCCTGTGTGATCGCGTCTCCTCCAAGTTCTGACCTGGAGGGGGCTTGCAACGTCATACCGGTGCCTGCCAAGTGACCGAAGCCGTTCACAACATGCACTGGACGGTGCAAAGTGCAGACTTGTCCCTTTTTAGCCTGAAAGCTCCCAATTGATTTACACGCCCATCCGACACAATTAAGAAACCTAGTCTTAGTGTGCACCAGGCTATGTTGGTGTGTTTGAAGCATCCGTGGCCAAGGAGCCCTACGAGTATTGACGCAGCAGTCGGGTGACTGCCGGCACTCGTGGAATGCGCCGACATGCTAAGAGGCTGGAAGCGGTGGAAAGGTCCGTACCTTCGAAAGGGTAGTCGGGACGTTCTGCACAAAGATCTTCTTGCACCTTTGCACATTCGGGTGTTTTTGCACTCTCGCTCAGGCCGGTCTGTGGGAGCTTTGCTGTCACGGGTGTGCTGTGCCCATCAATACACAGCATGTCTGGCCGCGATAAAGCCAAGTGGAGAAGGTGGTCAAATGAAAGGAGAAAAGGGAAGCAAGCAGTCAAGCCAGCTTTGATGCCACGGACGCAGCTTCCATGGCACGCACCTGCTTTAAGTATTGCCATGAATGACACCAGATTAAGGTGTCTGCCCAGACCGAAGGGAGGTTGCTGCACTCGCCGGCGCCGGCGCTGCAGCAGGTACCTCGAACCAGCAGGGAAGAGAAGGCTGCGCCAAACACTTTGGGCACGTGCACTGGCAACGTGGAGTTCTATGTGCTTGCAACAGCTGCAGCACCTGTGGCAGTATCTGCGAAAGCTCCTTCGCTAACAGTTGAAGTATTTATGGCAACCACACCACAACTGCACTCTCCGCAATTGCCCAACAACACCGCGCGCCTCTGAATTCATGGCTTCAGGCGACAGCGGGTACTGAAAGATTGGATGCTGGGTCTTCCTGGGTCTTCCTTCTGCCTTCGTTGGAAACATCTAGAGGTTATAGTCATAGTAGTACTCGTCGTCGTGGTGGCAGCGCAGTGGTAGCGGTGGTAGTGGTAGTAGTAGTGGTGGTAGTGGTAGTAGTAGTAGTAGTAGTAGTAGTAGTCGTCGTCGTCGTCGTAGTATAGTAGTAGTCGTCGTCGTAGTAGTAGTAGTAGTAGTAGTAGTAGTAGTAGTAGTAGTAGTAGTAGTAGTAGTAGTAGTAGTAGTAGTAGTACGCGCCCATTTGACGCTGCGTTGTCGTGCACGTCGCCCGCATAAAACACTGTGTTTTCCGATGTACGCAGGACATGGCTTGCCTCAGTCAGGGGGGCGTTGAGTTTTGGATCAGGATAGTTGCCAGCAGTTGACTCAGCAGTGTCGGATCATGTGTGTTGTTAGCCCTCAGTTCCCCGCCCACTCCCCCCGCCAACCCCCCCAACCCCGAACCCCCCAACCCCCACCCCCACCCCCCCCAAGCCAAGCCAAGCCAAGCCAAAAATAAGTACTGATTTTTCCAAGGCCCTCATAGGAAAAGCAAGACCCTCATAGGAAAAGCAAGGCCCTCATAGGAAAAGCAAAGCCCTCATGGGAAAAGCAAGGCTCATAGGAATGATGTTGATGATGTTCAAGTTCCCCGCCCACCCCCCCCAACCCCCCCACCCCGAACCCCCCAACCCCCACCCCCACCCCCCAAGCCAAGCCAAGCCAAGCCAAAAACAAGTACTGAAAATTTATGCCAAGGGCCTCATAGGAAAAGCAAGGCCCTCATACGAAATCCATAGACCTGATACGAACACCAGGGCCCTCATACGAAATCCAAGGTCTCATCAAACCCAAAGCACAAAGACATCCCCGCTCTCAAGCTGAAACCCAAATCCCACAGATAGAATTCCTAAGTCAAGGTTTTCAGAATTCAATGCCCCCCAGAGAATTAGTGAAATGTGCTGATAACTCGAGTTTTGGGCATGTGAACTAAGGAAATGCATAGCGTCAATTATGCACTACGCTCTTAGTGATGGTAGTAGTAGTAGTAGTAGTAGTAGTAGTAGTAGTAGTAGTAGTAGTAGTAGTAGTAGTACTAGTACCAGTACTAGTACTAGTACTAGTAGTAGTAGTAGTAGTAGTAGTGGCAGTGGCAGTAGTAGTAGTAGTAGTAGTAGTAGTAGTAGTAGTAGTAGTAGTAGTCGTAGTAGTAGTAGTAGTAGTAGTCGTAGTCGTAGTAGTAGTCGTCGTAGTAGTCGTCGTAGTAGTAGTAGTAGTAGTAGTTGTTGTTGTTGTTGTTGTTGTAATGCTAGTACTAGTACTAGTAGTGGTCGTACCAGTAGTAAAGTTCCTGTCAAGCTGCATGTTCTGCTCACTTTGGGCAGGGACTCCAGCCACGTTTCTAACATGTCTCCAGCTCCTGCAAGCCATCTGCACGTTCATCGGAGATACCATAATCAGCGCAGGTCCATGAGCAATCGCACGGAGACTATGAACAGGCTGTTTGTCATCCACCCGACGGTGCTCTGGACCTTTCAAGCTGCTTTGCAGCAGTGATGGCCCCCACGTGCAGCCCCCGACTTCGGGGGACGAATGTATCGGAGCAAACAGCTTTCCAACGAATTGGTGACACTGACAGCTTTGGTCAGGTTGCCAAACACGTGGAGTAAATCGCAAGATGCGATGAGTGGGCAGCTGGCTATCCGCTGTGTTAGCAGCCAGAGGCCCGCACAACAGAAGCAAGGCCGCTGGTCCTCTTCCGTCCGCTTCTTTGCCGCCCCGGCAGCTTTCACCCTTTCCATTGGCGTTCCAGCGGCCTCCTGCAGGGCCGCTGAGCTCGGAACTTTGTCCTCCACGCCCTGCGGCTCCTGAGGCTCAGTGCAGGCCATCTGAGGTCGGGGACTCTAGGGATTCCCTTGGCTTAGAGGGGGCTCGGCCTCATCTGCTCTTTCTGCTTCTCTCGCCGGAGGCACGTCAGGCACGTCACCATCCTCCTCCAGCAATTTTGGGGCTTCTTCGGGAAGTCCATGATTACAACATAATGCAACACTAGTTTAAGAACTTGGGGAAGAGTAGACCACAGCCGCGCCTGCACGGGTGTCTTCGACATCGACGCAGAAGTGACATCAGCCTTCCCCTTTGTGTGCACGCTGGAAAGCTCCTCGAAGGTGGCAGCCAATTGTGCGACTGTTCTTGGCTCTTCTTCCGATCTGCGAATTCGGACCACGGCTTGCCCAACCATTGCCTCTGCGACATCTGCACCACTATCGCCAAGCTCCTGGACAACAGATGTTGTCAATGTGGCAGAGACTGGTGCAGTTGCCAAGTTATCTCAATGCCATGCCAGCCAGTGCTGCGCTGACCGCTACTGCCCGCGACTGTCGCTTCCTGTGTCGGAACATGTTCAACCACCTCCTCTTTTTGCTCCTCAACACAGAGTGACCAGCTCAATGTGGCAAGAATGGGTAAGAACGTATGTACAGAAGCATCCACTTGCATGACGCGGTGGTGCACCTCTTTCAGCTGCGTCCTTTCAAGCCGTTCCTTTTCCAGTACAAATACACTCAGTGCGAGTCGCTGCTACAGACGGATTAGCGTGGTAAGGACGCCGGGCAGTAGCACAAGGTACCCCAGGGAAAAATGGTTGTGCCACCGCGCGGGCAATACGGATAGGAGGGAAGCATACACAATCCTGTCCAGAAATTCTTCATCACCCGCCTCTTCTCCGCGCGTCTCCACCGGCTCCTGCAACTATGCAACAGTAAGCATCTGACAGTGCTTGCACACACCATGTGCCACAAAGCACGCCCGGCCTTTGCATTGGTTTTCTCCACGGAGCACACCTCCTCCTGCCACACGACAAGATAACTGAAGCTGGGCAACTACACGGACAAGCAGGCTGCCGCACTGAAGACCCTGCGGCACCTCTTGTCCTCCCCTTGATCTGGCAGCCTCCTAAAATAAAGAGGCGATATACTATATAGCATGCGAAATCCGAAAATTCATCGCGTAACCCTGCAGCCAATCCTTCCAAAGTCTTATCCACCTTGATGCATTCTTTGTGCTGATTTCGATTGTCTTGGCTACTCCACAGACATCTGTGCCCTCCCAACTTGGAGTCCAGAGTAGAGTTCTCTGTCGAAAATCGGTTTTGTGCCTCCCTCCCCGTCTGCTGCCGGTCACGCCAAACGCCAGGGGCATAACCGGTTCAGATTGGGGTAGGGTTTGGTTCGACGTACTCCAGGCAGAAGGGATGACATGTGAGGCCTACAGGTCACTGTTGCCTGCGGCCTCTGCCCACCCAGCTATGACGAGCCCACACTGGATTGGATCCGGATGGGTATCACATGGTATCACAAACTTCTCTTCCTTCAAAACACACCAAGATCTGACTGGAAAGAAGATGTGCTCGCATGACGGTTAATAAGCTACCAAGGGCATGCTAGCACCCACGACTACCTCGCTCTCCGCCGGGCCCGTGGCCACATGTGGCAGCTCGATGTGGCAAGACTGGGGAAGACTGCAGGGGTATCCACCAGCAAGACATGGCGGTGCACCTGTTGTTGCTGCTTCTCTTCTTCGTGCTGCTTCTTTTCCTGTACATAAACAATTGCGAGTCGACGTACCACGGCTGCTGATCACGGCTGCGACGTAGTTAGGAGAACAAGTCAAGTCAGCCGTCGGATGAAGAGCTACAGAAGCTATAGCAGCTAACCGCAATCAGATGAGGAAATAAGTTGTGGTGCCACTGCGCATACAACACAAGAAATCACGAAATCCGTATCTGCTGGATTCGCTTGATGCAACCACCGCTGCGATGGACCCCAGATCTGGACCGTTGTGAAGGGAGCCTTGCCTGTGATGGCGGAAAAAGCGGCACCTCGCATAAATTCAATCTGCACGCAACGCGACCCGCCCGAAAAGCCCAAACTCTTAACGCTAGACCTTCTTGCTAATGTCTTACACTCTGAGGCTGCTGCGCTGTTTTTTGAACGCTCCTGCCAGGGTTTGCGCATGAGTCTTCAGTGCGATGGTAGATCACAAGCGGAAGGAAGCATGCAGTCATGCCAACCTCCCACAGCTCTTTCAAAAGCTGGAACTTGGCACCTTCAAGAGACTCCGCTACTACCTGTTGCTGCAGCGGCCACGCCCGCCCGGAATGGACAGGATGGGCCTGTTTAGCGCTACACTGCCTTCCATGGCTTGGGAAAATGTCCAGACGGGGAGGGAGCTTGGGCCGATGTGAACAGCTTAGGAAATCATGAACGTTTGAGTTTGGCCTGATAAGCATCACACGTGACATAACTGCAACCCATCAGCCGCACATGGTGACGTTCGTAGCCTGCTTTTGCTTTCCCAGCTGCACGTGCATCGAAACCTCCCCCTTGAAAGGCATGTCGGCATGCTCGCCTCCAAGCAGCATGCCTTGACCCGGCTCACCCGGCTCCGGTACACGACTGAAACCGCACAATGGCGCCCCCATTCAAAGGAAAATCGGGGCCCTGCACCGAGGGCATAGCCACGACACTGAAAGGATTAGGTCAGTTGTTGCAAACGGAGCACTCAGGCGAGCCAGATATGCATTGAACAATCGTGACAGCTTTGAAGCAAGACCATCTTCCACCACGGTGCGACACAGAACTCCCGTGATGAATTACGGTGGTGACAATCGGATGGTCCAAATGCTGGGGGCTACAAGTTCAACCGTGTGCACCATCGGGCACCAGCTCCTGCAAGCCATCTGCACGTTCATCGGAGATACCATAATCAGCGCAGGTCCATGAGCAATCGCACGGAGACTATGAACAGGCTGTTTGTCATCCACCCGACGGTGCTCGGGACCTTTCAAGCTGCTTTGCAGCAGTGGTGGCCCCCACGTGCAGCCCCCGACTTCGGGGGACGAATTTATCGGAGCAAACAGCTTTCCAACGAATTGGTGACACTGACAGCTTTGGTCAGGTTGCCAAACACGTGGAGTAAATCGCAAGATGCGATGAGTGGGCAGCTGGCTATCCGCTGTGTTAGCAGCCAGAGGCCCGCACAACAGAAGCAAGGCCGCTGGTCCTCTTCCGTCCGCTTCTTTGCTGCCCCGGCAGCTTTCACCCTTTCCATTGGCGTTCCAGCGGCCTCCTGCGGGGCCGCTGAGCTCGGAACTTTGTCCTCCACGCCCTGCGGCTCCTGAGGCTCAGTGCAGGCCATCTGAGGTCGGGGACTCTAGGGATTCCCTTGGCTTAGAGGGGGCTCGGCCTCATCTGCTCTTTCTGCTTCTCTCGCCGGAGGCACGTCAGGCACGTCACCATCCTCCTCCAGCAATTTTGGGGCTTCTTCGGGAAGTCCATGATTACAACATAATGCAACACTAGTTTAAGAACTTGGGGAAGAGTAGACCACAGCCGCGCCTGCACGGGTGTCTTCGACATCGACGCAGAAGTGACATCAGCCTTCCCCTTTGTGTGCACGCTAGAATCTAGAAAGCTTCCGATCTGCGAATTCGGACCACGGCTTGCCCAACCATTGCCTCTGCGACGTCTGCACCACTATCGCCAAGCTCCTCGACCACAGATGTTGTCAATGTGACAGAGACTGGTGCAGTTGCCAAGTTATCTCAATGCCATGCCAGCCAGTGCTGCGCTGACCGCTACTGCCCGCGACTGTCGCTTCCTCTGCCGGAACATGTTCAACCACCTCCTCTTTTTGCTCCTCAACACAGAGTGACCAGCTCAATGTGGCCAGAATGGGTAAGAACGTATGTATAGAAGCATCCACTTGCATGACGCGGTGGTGCACCTCTTTCAGCTGCGTCCTTTCAAGCCGCTCCTTTTCCAGTACAAATGCACTCAGTGCGAGTCGGTGCTACAGACGGATGGGCGTGGTAAGGACGCCGGGCAGTAGCACAAGGTACCCCAGGGAAAAAATGGTTGTGCCACCGTGCATGCAATACGGATATGAGGGAAGCATACACAATCCTGGCTTGATGCAAGAAATTCTTCATCACCCGCCTCTTCTCGGTGCGTCTCCGCCGGCTCCTGCAACTATGCAACAGTAAGCATCTGACAGTGCTTGCACACACCATGTGCCACGAAGCACGCCCGGCCTTTGCATTGGTTTTCTCCACGGAGCACACCTCCTCCTGCCACACGACAAGATAACTGAAGCTGGGCAACTACACGGACAAGCAGGCTGCCGCACTGAAGACCCTGCGGCACCTCTTGTCCTCCCCTTGATCTGGCAGCCTCCTAGAATAAAGAGGCGATATGCTATATAGCATGCGAAATCCGAAAATTCATCGCGTAACCCTGCAGCCAATCCTTCCAAAGTCTTATCCACCTTGATGCATTCTTTGTGCTGATTTCGATTGTCTTGGCTACTCCACAGACATCTGCGCCCTCCCAACTTGGAGTCCAGAGTAGAGTTCTCTGTCGAAAATCGGTTTTGTGCCTCCCTCCCCGTCTGACTCAGATTGGGGTATGGTTTGGTTCGACGTACTCCAGGCAGAAGGGATGACATGTGAGGCCCACAGGTCACTGTTGCCTGCGGCCTCTGCCCACCCAGCTATGACGAGCCCACACTGGATTGGATCCGGATGGGTATCACATATCACAAACTTCTCTTCCTTCAAAACACACCAAGATCTGACTGGAAAGAAGATGTGCTCGCATGACGGTTAATAAGCTACCAAGTGCATGCTAGTACCCACGACTACCTCGCTCTCCGCCGGGCCCGTGGCCACACGTGGCAGCTCGATGTGGCAAGACTGGGGAAGACTGCAGGGGTATCCACCAGCAAGACATGGCGGTGCACCTGCTGTTGCTGCTTCTCTTCTTCGTGCCGCTCTTTTTCCTGTACATAAACAATTGCGAGTCGACGTACCACGGCTGCTGATCACGGCTGCGACGTAGTTAGGAGAACAATTCAAGTCAGCTGTCGGATGAAGAGCTATAGAAGCTATAGCAGCTAACCGCAATCAGATGAGGAAATAAGTTGTGGTGCCACTGCGCATACAACACAAGAAATCACGAAATCCATATCTGCTGGATTCGCTTGATGCAACCACCGCTGCGATGGACCCCAGATCTGGACCGTTGTGAAGGGAGCCTTGCCTGTGATGGCGGAAAAAGCGGCACCTCGCATAAATTCAATCTGCACACAACGCGACACGCCCGAAAAGCCCAAACTCTTAACGCTAGACCTTCTTGCGAATGTCTTACACTCTGAGGCTGCTGCGCTGTTTTTTGAACGCTCCTGCGAGGGTTTGCTCATGAGTCATCAGTGCGATGGTAGATCACAAGCGGAAGGAAGCATGCAGTCATGCCAACCTCCCACAGCTCTTTCAAAAGCTGGAACTTGGCACCTTCAAGAGACTCCGCTACTACCTGTTGCTGCAGCGGCCACGCCCGCCCGGAATGGACAGGATGGGCCTGTTTAGCGCTACACTGCCTTCCATGGCTTGGGAGGATGTCCAGACGGGGAGGAAGCTTGGGCCGATGTGAACAGCTTAGGAAATCATGAAAGTTTGAGTTTGGCCTGATAAACATCACACGTGACATAACTGCAACCCATCAGCCGCAGATGGTGACGTTCGTAGCCTGCTTTTGCTTTCCCAGCTGCACGTGCATCGAAACCTCCCCCTTGAAAGGCATGTCGGCATGCTCGCCTCCAAGCAGCATGCCTTGACCCGGCTCACCCGGCTCCGGTACACGACTGAAACTGCACAATGGCGCCCCCATTCAAAGGAAAATCGGGGCCCTGCATCGAGGGCAAAGCCACGACACTGAAAGGATTGGGTCAGTTGTTGCAAACGGAGCACTCAAGCGAGCCAGAAATGCATTGAACAATCGTGACAGCTTCCTTAAAGCAAGACCATCTTCCACCACGGTGCGACACAGAACTCCCGTGATGAATGACGGTGGTGACAATCGGATGGTCCAAATGCTGGGGGCTACAAGTTCAACCGTGTGCACCATCGGGCACAGGTATGATGTATGAATTCTGTTTGTCAGTACTTACCACGCGATCACAGCGTGGGGCTTTGGCTCCTTCGGATGCCATGCACACAACCACCAAAAAACGATGCTTTGCAGCCGAGGTGCAACTTCTGCCTCCACTCCCGCAGCTGTTTCTCAAAGAAGCTCTTGGATGTCGCTCCGTCAGCTTTCGGAGTGATGGGATCATCCTGAACAGGCGAACATCAAGCAAGCATGCATAGCTGTACTTCCAAATATAAAACTCCCGTCTTTGTACTCTGAAATGACTGATGTGGCTCATGACTGGAAAACTGGAAAGCCCATTGGACATTTGAGCTGCAAGCGCCTCACCGCGACCATGCTGGGCAAAGAAAGCTGACCAAGCACGGTAAGCGCGAGTCGCCTGAATGGCATCTACACGGATTGCCTTTCATAAGGGGGATCCTCATGCAAACGTTTCTCGCCTTGACCATGCGGATCTGGTTGGAACGACGCAAGGAACGATCCTCGCGTGGCGTCGGATCAAAGCTGCTCTTGCTCTATCCTACCACAAATACACCCATCATCACCCATCCAGTGCACACACTACGGCAATCGGAGCCGTCAACTTCTGGCCTGGAGACACGCAGCAAGCGCGCTTCACGAAACAGAACAAACTAAAGGATACCATGAATTTCCCAAGTGTGGCACCAAGACAAGAAGAGTACGGAATCGCCATCTTCGAGTCGCGGTTTACTTCGGAATGCGGAATGCATTCTTGAGGACTTTATAAGGACGGCAAATACTTAGCATCTTTTCGAAAATCTACCGTCGCAACGCGATCATGAGGGCGCCTGTGAGGGCGCCTGCGACTGCCGGTGGGAATCCGCCTGCAGGCACGTACAAGCCAACGGAATCCAAATAAGCAGAAGCTCGAAAAGCGGATTCCTGTCCTTCATGGGCATTGTCACGCTCTTGCTGGCCTCAGCCAGCTTCCGCATGCATTGCTATCGATGCATGCAATCACTAAGCAATACCGGTGCCCAAGCTCTAGGCCATGATGATCTTCAACCCCCAGGCCTCAAGCTTGCAACTTGTTCCAATTTCCGCGCCAAGGAAGACGCTTGAGTCTATCTTCTTCGGACAGCAAAGCATACAGGGCTGCTGCTGGCAAGGCGAGAAGACCGAACGCTGCAAACTCAAAATCCCTTTGCAACGCTCAGCACCATGTCCCAAAGGGGCGTGCTACTTCTCTTGTTTCCACCCAGGACGCTTGAAGCCTGAACTTATTAAGAAGGGAGGTTGGATGCACTGGGTTTTCCCGACAAGCTTGCATACCAGTAGACAAGACTAGAGCAGCCAGTCTAACGAAACATGTCAATGTCAAGTGTGCAGCAGCATGCCAGACATGGTGCGGTGCCTGGAAGCCAAGAGGAAGGGGGCGGCTACTGTGCATGTCGATCCAAATACTACTGCATCGGTGCTCTCCTGAGGTTGTTGAGTGTGTGTGCATTAGGCAGAAGCCCAGTACAAGCAGGTAGTAATTATAAGGTTTTCTGCAGTGGCAGGGTCTATTGAAAAGTGCAAATGCCTGTCGCATCGGAGGGTTCCACTACGCTGCAGGATAATCTCAGAGGAGCCGAGCAGGCTGCCAACACCTTTCAAGTCTTTGACTGACAGCCAGTGTTTGTGCTCCAGGTGTGAGCCGCCGCAGGACAGGACCTGCCCTGAAGTGGGCACTTGCCTCAGGGTGTTGGGCTCGCCAAGCCTGCTTTGACTCTTCAATGATCGCGGGAGGCACAGAGGGTGCACATAAAACTGAGGTCTGCAGCCCCAGATGCAAGACTGCGAACCGGGGCAAAAAGCAGAATGGGATCGCATCTGTGCGCAGGGGTCTTTGGCTCAGGATTCAGGGTCAAGGGTGCAGGGTTGTAGGGTTTGGGGTATTCTTCTTTCGGGGGTGCTGTCGCGGGTGTGCGCGGGCTGGAAATGTAGCTTTTCCCTGCGGCAAAGTTTAAAAAGCTAACAAAGAGCCACAAGAATGCCAACAAAAAGCTAAGAAAAAGCTAACACAAAGCTAAACAAAAGCTAGTAAAACCACGAAGAAGATAGCGAAAGTTACCAAAAAAGCTACACAGAAGCTATCAAAAAGGAAACACAATGATCTGAGCAAGGCTGCCACAAGCCCAAAATACAGGGTTGTGCAAGAGTGACCCAGCAGCCCAGTAGCAACCCACACGGCCCTGCCCAAAACCCTCCCAAACAAACCGTGTGTTCCCAACCGTGACGCGGTGCCATCCGTATTCTCCGTCTCTGTATTTCGCAAGCCATCTTGACTCAGGGAGCTTTTGGATTAGCTCTTGCTTAGGTTATTTCTGGCTTTGCCCGCTTTCCACCATGACCACTGGAGGGCTACCCCACTAAACGACAGAAAAGTCGCCAGAAAAAACTCTCGAGCGCCACCGCCGGGGGCTACCCCGCTAAACGAAAGAAAAGTCGCCCGAAAAAATTCGCGAGCGTTACCTCTTGGGGGCTACCCCACTAAAGGATACGCGAAAATCGCCAGAACAAATTCGCGAGCGAAACCGCCGGGGGGGCTACCCCTCGAATAGGAAAGAAGGGGGGTATGTTGATGCTTTGTTATTCTTGGGAGTGCCAGGACATGCCAGGACCGGGCCCTAATTAACTACGAAAGATTCAGATATGGCTGCTTTGTCAGCGCCATTCTGGAGCTTTTCTGGCTGCCTTTCAGCGCCATTAGCTCCCTTGGATCCAACGCCGAAACTACCCATCGGCTAGCTTGTATTTAGCTTTCCCATAGCTTTTCTTTAAATCTAACATGTAGCTTTGTGTCCAGAGCTCGGTCGTCTTAACATCGTCTTAACTATATGGCTGGAACGGACTGCGAAGCCACAACGACTGGAGAAAAGACTACCCCCGAACACCATCCAGAGTCCGGACCTGAGACGCCAGAGCAACCGCCTATCACCACAAAACGGAGGAATGGCATGCACAGAAAGAGAGGACCTTCAGAAGAAAAAGGCACACCACCGGCCTTCAACCCGGGACCAGAAGTCTCGGAGCCTCCCTGCGGTTTTGGCTTTGTTCGACCCTAAGCACAGTCGCACTAAGCACCCGACCAGCAGGAGTGAAGATGAAGATGCTGATCAATGCCACCTTCCGAAGGTCTCTACACAGGAAGAAAACCGTGTGCAGCGCATTCATGGAAGCAGACTGCTTCAACTTCAGTGTGGTGCTGGTCGCAAATGAAAGAATGCCCAACTGCACCTCCGCGAGCACGACCACTTGATGTTGAGCCTGGACCATTGCGGCGCACTTGAAACGTTTGCTCATGAAGCTTCTACCAGGTGCTGGAAACCCCAGCTTCGTGCAACACGCCGGTAAGTAAGGCCATTGCCGAAAATGGCTGTGCATGGGACAGGGCGTCCGTCAGGAGGACGTTCACGCCGCCTCTTGCAGGTCTTCCACTTTCTTGCTTTCAAAGGTCATCCTCACAATGATTCAGTCACTGCATTCCAGGACTCCAGGATCATGCGCCCCTTGCAACAATCAACCATGCATCTCAACGCAACTCACCCGTGTATGATGGCGGCATCCAGAGACAGTACCATTGCCATGGGCAGCGAAGAACAGATCTCCGGTGCCTTCTGAGCCAGAAAATCGTCCAGCAGATGGGCTTCAACCTCGGTTCAGCCACTTTAACCATTGTAATCTCCTTGACGACGTCTTGGCTTCCGCCTAAGAAAAGTAGCAAGCAAAGATCGAATCATAGTAATATTGCGAAAACCAAGAATCATTTATGACAATAATAATAACAATAATAATAACAATAGTAATAACAACAGTAATAGTAGCACTAGCAATGATACTAATACTAAGATGAATACCAATACGAATATGAAAAAGAACAAGAATAAAACACTAATAGCACTAATACTAATACCTTTAGTAATGCAATACGAATACTAACACGAATACTCATGCTAGCTAAGGCAGCCTGTGAGCGTTCCCAGAGAGCCCTACTCCAGGCAGCTTCGCAGTGAAGGGGAGGCCTTTTAGAAATGGTGGTTTCCGAAAATGGGGGACTCGAATCTAATTCCCTAAATAGCAGGATCCTGATTACAAGGACCCCGAAGTAAGGTACCCCTCATTTTCGGAAACTCCTATGTAGAAGAGGGCTGTGGCATGTATGGGCTCACTACAAATCTATGAGCATCACGGCTGTGCATGGGCACGGGAATACATCAACAGATGAGCGGCGAACACGGCTGTCAGATGGATCTAAGCTGCTATGGGCCGCACTTCCTCGGAGACTTCGCTCTTTCTGGAAGTCTTGGACTTGGCCTGACGCAGGACCAGGGATTTGAACGAAAAAGAGGCTGGAGGGAAGCGCATACTCTGCCGTATTCGGCTTCACTGCAAGAACCTGCGTTTGCAGATCGAGCGCTGACTAGCAAGGAATGACCGGCAAAAACAACTGATTCCACCACACTCTCCCCTCCTACCAAGTACCAGCAGCTCACCGAGGCGAGCGACCCACGTCTTCCAGCAGCATAACTCCAGGAATGACCGGCTAAAGCAACTCATTCAACCACACTCCCCTCCTACACAGTACCAGCGAAGCGACCCGCGTGTTCCGGCAGCGTAACTCCGGAAATGACCGGCAAGAACAACTCCTTCCACCACACTCACCCCTCCTGCAAAGTACCAGCAGCTCATCGAGGGGGCGACCCACGTCGAATGATCGGCAAAAACAACTCATTCCACCACACTCTCCCCTCCTACAAAGCACCAGGAGCTCATCGAGGCGAGCGACCCACGTCTTCCAGCAGCGTATCTCCAGGAATGACCGGCAAAAACAACTCATTCCACCACACTCTCCCCTCCTACAAAGTACCAGCAGCTCATCGAGGCGAGCGACCCACGTTTCCAGCAGCGTAGGAATGACCGGCAAAAACAACTCATTCCACCACACTCTCCCCTCCTACAAAGTACCAGCAGCTCATCGAGGCGAGCGACCCACGTCTTCCAACGGCATAACTCCAGGAATGACCGGCAAAAACAACTTATTTCACCACCCTCTCCCCTCCTACAAAGTACCAGCAGCTCATCGAGGCGAGCGACCCACGTCTTCCAGCAGCATAACTCCAAGAATGACCGGCAAAAACAACTCATTCCACCACACTCTCCCCTTCTACAATCGAGGCGAGCGACCCACCTCTTCCAGCAGCATAACTCCAGGAATGACCGGCCAAAAACAACTCATTTCACCACACGCTCCCCTCCTACAAAGTACCAGCAGCTCATCGAGGCGAGCGACCCACGTCTTCCAGCAGCAGAACTCCAGGAATGACCGGCAAAAGCAACTCATTCCACCACACTCTCCCCTCCTACAAAGTACCAGCAGCTCATCGAGGCGAGCGACCCACGTCTTCCAGCAGCACAACTCCAGGAATGACCGGCAAAAACAGCTCCTTCCACCATACTCTCCCCTTCTACAAAGCACCAGCAGCCCATCGAGGCGAGCGACGACCCACGTCTTCCAGCAGCATAACTCCAGGAACGAGAGGCAAAAGCAACTCATTCCACCAGTCCATCGCCACCCGTGCCCCATCTTGCTACTTCTCAGCGCCCAGCGTGCAGTGCTTTTGTTCTGCAACAGGTCGAGCCTGACGTAGCAAAATCAAGTTGAAGCCCGCCCTTGTGTCACAAGTACACAGTACTCATGCTTCCTGCAGCTCCCCTAACAGGCTCTGCCGAGATGGATCCGATGGTGGCCCCATCTACTCAATTTACTCATCTACTGCCACGGCGTGCGGCTTCCGACAACAACGGCTCACCGCTCCGCAACCAGACGGATGTCAACGTTGTCTCCAACCTGTGCCTTTGCGAACTGCGCTTGCTGCGCAACCAAAGAGCCAGCGTGTTCTGATGCGTTCGCTTTCTGCGTTTCGGATCCAACCCTGTTCAAACTCGCTGCAACTCTGCACCCTGACTGGAAGGTATACCCAGTGGACGCGGACATAGTGTAATGGTGTATGTGCGTCTGCTCGTATCGCAGGTTCTGCGCAGCATGTTCGTCACGCCGGCCCTGAACCCCAGCTTCTGGCTGCTGCCCCACCTGTGCCTGTTGGCCTCGTACTGGGTGCGACCACGACAACATGAAAAAACTGCCAGGACTCCTGGTGCCCAGCAGCTGCTTAGTCAGCATGTCGGATACTGTTGATAACTTTTGCAAGTTCACCTTCATCTGGGAAAATCAAATCATTCAAGCCGCCTGCCCGTACACCCCTCCTCCCAACCCAACCCCTCCGCAAGACGGCCAACTCTTCCACGAGAAAAAACTGCAGCATTGTTGAGGGAGCAAGTTCGAAATTACCCATCTCTCACGCGAAAACAATTCATTCCAGCGGCCCGCCCCCGCATGCGAGCACCTGCAGAAAGCGCCCTATGCTTCCATCAACACCAGAAGGAGCGAGGTCGGGAAAGCAACTCATTCCACCCGAATGCCGCCCCTCTCGCACACATGCCTCGTAGGTCTGCACACGTCAAGACTCTTTCAAGTAGCAAAAGCTCAAAGAGCCGTGCGAGAAAAACAACTCTTTCCACCGCCTCCTCACCAACCCCGCGGCCGACGACGCCTGCCACCAGTAAAGAAAATGAACGCTGAGGTGTGTGTTCAGCCATCACCAGGAAAGCTTCGTTGCACCAACCCCCCCATCAACTGTAAGCACCTTCGGGGTCTGCGCGTGGAAACTCTGCCGTCAGCGTTTGTTTTCGAGGATGTCCTCGGAAACCAAATTCCACCGCCTCCCAAACTGCAAAACTCCACCAGCTGCACCAACCGCCAGCGCCCCACGCCGCTCCTCGCCGCCCACCCGAGCCATCCTTAAGGAACACGGCGAGCCTGTGAAAACAAATGATCAGGGAAACAATTCATTCCACCCGCCCGACCTCCCATGTCTGCACGAGGAGTAAGTAAGGGACAACATCTCAATCCCTCCGCCGGCCTTCATCGCTTCTGCCACGGCTTTTCGGGTGCTCGAAAAGGTCCTTGGATTCCTCTGGGCGGGTATCTATGTTTATGCAGAAACGGACGCGCGCCTTCCACCTTCATGACAGACGAAGCTACAAGTTACAAGTAAGTGCAAGCAGGGGTGAGGGCTTGTGAACGACTACGACCGCGACCGAGCCGAGCGTGCGAGACCACCACTTTTCAGTGAATGGCCCCGCACTTCCGATCCGAGACCCCTTTGCAGGAAGCCTCTTCATGGCCGGCTCGGTTGCGGAAGTCACCGAACACGTGAACCACTGCCCAACGCATGCATAAACAAATCTGCGTCATCACAGGGACACACCCCAAAGCTCAAGAAAGCTCAAAGCTCCTGCAGCGAGCAGCAGAGCAACACCAGACCAGTGCAGCCGGCATGGTGTCTCAGACGGAGCGGCCGCTTCATGGCTAGGGGCAGCGCGAAGCAGGCCCTGAAGCGAAAGAAACAGCTGGACGACTGAAGACCTTCTTCTCGCTGAGGGCACGACAAATCTTTGCAAATGCTCTTGCTTCAGTCCTGCTGTACCGATTGACAACCGGAACCGAAGTGCCATGTGCGGACTCAGATTGTTCGCAGCACCTCACGTACAACACGTAGACAACCCAGACCTCGCGGGCAGAGGAAACTCTGCGAATGGACGTCGGGACCAACTGCAAACAAAGCGTGCCCAATTGCATGCCCGCACAACCCCATGAGCTCCTACGCAAGCTTTTCTGGGATTCTGGGCCTCAGGCTTTCCGCATCGACGGAAAAGCGCCGTACCTCACGTGGGGGGGGGGGGGCTCGGAACACTATAGGAGCTCCAGGGAGCGAAGTCCACTGCAACTATCGATGCAAGAACCGAATAACACTGCACGAGCTGTGAAACATTTAGTGGATGTTCCAAGTAAAATTACTCGTTCGCTCCTCGCCCAAGGTGTATTTCAAGGTTGGATCCCGCTTTTTGCCTCAAAGCCGGCTCGAGACTCCAAACCCCATTTCCTGAACCCCCAAATCCAAGTCCTAAACGCTGCAACCCCGAAATCTGCAACAAAAAGCCCCGCCCCTTCAAAACAGGGCAAAAGGGGCAAAGAACTGCCAACCAGGCCATGGCTCACATAGGAATGGCTCGAGCGGTAGAGCCAGTACTGTGAGTAGAAGCCTCAGAGCTGACCAGTTAAAGTTTGAAGCACTTTTTGGGAGTTCGAGCCAGTGCGGCCTTTTTTGGGGGTGTGGGCACTGGGACCTTCTACAGGATTCAAGTTCTTCCTGACTTTTTTGAGTTCCTTAGGCTTCGGGCTTGAAGGTTTCAGGGTTCGGGCCTGGAGCTCAGCAAAGTCACAGGCGCCGAAGACCCAGCACGTTGGAACGTTGCAGAAACTTCCCGACATGCTCTGAATCGACATTCGAAGGCTGGCTGTACAGAGCCTTGGAAGCAGTGCCAGAACAGAACGTCTCACTTGGCATTAATCATGGGCTCACGACCTCCCCACCCTAGGCTCGATGCTTTCAAGCAACTCTTGCAAGCCACGAGACGCAGCAGCTTCCCGGCGGGGACTGTTACAAGTTGACGTGTGAATGTTTCAGGCCAGGATATCGACGCACTCCCCGCATCACAGGACTCAAGACCGCAGTCCTGCACCCCGTGCTGCGCGTCGTGCCGCGCATGCCAGATGCACACGGTCAGCAAGGTCAGTGCGATCACCCACCTTGAAGCGCTGAGATCTCTTTGCAAGCAGACATCACGTGAACCCCAAGTGTATCCTAACTCGGAACTGCGCAAAGCATGCAGGGCCATGCACGCAATAGCATCCAGTAAGAACCAGGCATATGCTCTAGTCTTGCTGCCTGCTCCGTGACCAGGTCCAAGCGGTGTGCCTGATGCGTGCAGTATCGCGCGGACAACGTTTCCAGCAAGTCTTGTTGCCCGTCCGCCCTCAACTCCCTGCCTGGATGTGCATGCACTACACTGACAGATATATGATATAATCCGCCGAGGCCAAAGGCCTCTGGCGTTTTGATGGTTAATACTGAGTAACCCTCCACCTAATCCGGAGGAAAGGGGAGGAGAAGGCAGGACGTTCGGAAGAATCCTTAGAGAGGCCAACTGCTGGTGGAATGCTCGCCTTCTTTTTCTCTTCGCTGGCCACTCGATCATCCGTCAGAATGTTCTAGCCACGTTTAACATTCAACAATTGTGAGACAAGCAATACCTGAGAGCTGAGTCCCCGACATTCTCCTCTCCTGGTCCAAAGGGTTTCCGACGATCGCCGAGCGATCTCGCAAGTTGGGTTCTGGAGCAAAGCTCCGGGGGACTCCACACAGATGAGGCCCAACCCTCTAAAACGGGCCGAAAATCCTAACGAAAATGAGATGCTGCACGGCAGCTGGTGCCACACGAGTCTGTGCATCATGAGTGTCAAGGCAGAAAAGGAATGATGCTGTCATCGATTTTGCTTATGCATCTGCGTCGGAAGCTGTATTGGTACAGAATCTGCCCGGTTTGGGAGTCTGTCAAGAGCTACCACATCCCTCCCCTGAAGGCCACGTATTGCATCGACGCATGCCTCATCCGCAAAGACGAGCTTCCTGACAATGAGGGACTTCTCAAGGTCTGCGGTTCTACAAGTCGCCGGGAAGCATAACTCGTGGGGCAAAGGCTGTCAAAGACGTCCTGCTGTACAGCTCCAGAGCCATTGACACCCAAAGATAAGGACCCGACTCATCCTCAGCAAAGCCAAGCGGCCCAGCATCCAGGTAGCCCACGGTAGCCCGCAGCATCCGAGGGAAGCACATTCCTCAGAGGTGCTCGAGCAGTGGACTGCAAGTGGAGGCCCTAAATGGCCCTACTATCTCTATCTCCACAGACTATGTATCGGGCTGCCTAGGATGCCCCCAACCACAGCAAGACACGTGACTTGAGAGCGCCGGAGACAATGATTCCATGTCTTGTAAACCCTGAATATCTCCTGTACCTGCTTAACCCCGCAACCCCTACACCCCAATCCCAGTCCACCCCCTCTCCACGAAAAGACTGACGCTCTAAACAAGTTCGACAGCTCAAAAGCAAGCCCCGGCTCACATGGGACTTGGAGTTGCCAGGCATGGGGAAAACGGGCTCCGAGTCAACTCCCCAGCTCCAGAAGCTTGGCGAAGTTCCCTAAACATGCCATGGGAAGCCGCTCTTGTAAGCCACCCGACGCAGGAGGACACAACCACCCCAACCATGCAGGACAGCGGCAGCACGGTGTGCCAAGAAGACTCTTGGCGTGAGACTGCAGCCCCTCCTCGGAAGGGTCGGTTCCAATTCGACTTGCGGGGACATGCTGCTGAGGACGACATGAGTTCAGCCTCCTCAGCACTGCAGCATGCTTCCTGTTGCAAGACTTCACAGGATCACCAGACCGCAGTCCTGCACCCCGTGCTGCGTCGTGGCGCGCATACCAAATGCACACAGTCAGCACCTTCAAGTGCCGAATCCGTTTGCAAGTTGAGACATCGCATGTGCTACATCCACAACTCAACTCCGAGCTGCAGCTAGCCAACCCTGCTGATACTCTCAGCCTCACCGGAGCGACAAACCCTTGTTTTTGAGCGTCAATGTCTTCTCTAATCGCGACCTTCCTCTCCATCTTCCACCTCGATGCAGCCCAGCCGCACTGTCAACTGCATGCTGTGGCAGGTGGATGCGAACGGCAAGCCTTGGCAGCACTCGCTCCAAGGTGCAGAGTTGCCGGCGGACACATAGAAGAAAGACTGCCAAGGTTGTGGGCAATGCCTCGTTTCCTGGAGCCGCAGAACTCGAAGTCATGTGGTTCGTCGCATCATCTTGGCCATTCGGATCATCATCACTGTCCTATCTTCCTGTCATACAACAGGTCTCGGACCGTCCTTGAGGTTACGTAGCAGCTCACAGACTCGAGTCACTCATCAGCACACAGACCAGCCATGGCAAGGAGACAAGCACTCGAAGTAGTCTCGGGCAGCGCATGTGTGCCTCAAGAACAGCAGCAGATTTCTACATTTCGGAGTGAAAATGGTAGAATGGCCCGTATGGGATTCCTCAGTGCAGATCCTAAGCACGGAACACTGAAACCTATCAAACGGAGAGGTGTCCTCGAAGTTGCTGAGTGCCAAGTTGTTTCGTTGCCAGAAGTGTGTGTGGTCTGTGCCGTGTGCACGCTACGTCTGCATCGCTTTGATCCTCTTCATTTCAGCCATCCCGAATTCCGGCCAGGTGGCTATATCGGTCCCATGTGGTATCGTCCCAGTTTGTAGACACTTCGCAACCTTGGGTCCGGCAGCCAAGGCAACAGGAATCTCACAGATGGCACGACAGGGATGAGGCACGTAAGCAAGAGCAGCTGACAAAGAATTGAGGGAGCCGGAACAAGCCTGGGCAAACCCGTAGCCTGCCCGTAGCCACCGAAGCGACTGGTTGACTGATCCTGAACTCGCACCACCCTTCCCCTTGCCGAGGAACCATAGCAGCTTCGTTCGTGTACGGGAATACCGTGACTCCCTAACTTGCTGGAGCCACACCGCTGCAGAAACTAAAACTTCACAGGCGGTCTGGGGAAACAGCCTCGGTTGCAGATTCAAGCACGTGTCAAAGACCCTTTCAAGAGAATGCTTTGGCTTCCGATCTCCAGGAAGTCTTTTCGGTCCCGGCGTTCTCGGATCGTGAATGAACAAGAATGAACAAGCCATCTGATGCCATAGTTCCGCTGGAGCACGGAAGTAAATGGGATCTCTTGCCACGCTCCGCTCCTCGCAATCCTTATGCGTCGCTGCTTGTATTGCCACTTCCTAGACGCTGGCCCCGGCCTTATTCTGACAGACAGCGTCGCACCGTTCGTCACACAATGCACAAAGTGTGCACCGTGGCACACCTGGCCTGGGATCATGAAGTGTACTTCTATGCCAACTTCTCAACTGACACAGACAACGCACGCGCAAGCCGAATTTCGAAAGACACATGTCAGCAACAGAAAGCAAGCCTTGAGCTGTCGCGACCTTGTGTCGAGTCTTCCGAGTCGGCGAAGAAGCAATGAACCGTCGAGCGTTGGGAAGTTTTCGCGAGTTGTCCCGGTCAGCAGGTACGGACAACCGAAACAGAAGATGTGAAGGCAAACTACTGTCAAAAAACGTGCTGCTGTGTGCGCTCAGCCCGGCTCAGCAACCCCGAGGTGAACAAATGTGCTTTCCGAATGCCCGACTAACGACAGGCGGTGTTGCTCTGTATAGTCACGCCTCAAACCGTATAATGCACGCGGGATAAAGCACATGGAGGAGCTTGTAAACCTGTGTAAGCAGCAGCAGGTGTCGCCATTGCATCAACAAGGAGTGTGACGCTGAAAACCTTCCACATCGTCTTCAACGCCCATGTTCACATCCTCTCTTTCGGCCTCCCAAAACGGATTGACCTCCTGGAAGCCTGCGTTGCAAACTGCACGAGCCTGGATGACAAGCGACACGAAGCAGGCGATGTGGCAGCTGGTAAACGTGTGGTTTTGCAGCCCGTCTCATTCACGTTGGAACGGAAGCTTTACAGCTAGGTGAAGTTACTACTACAGTACGCAACTGCTCGGAATAGATCATGCCAAATCTTTTCCCCACGAGGCAGAACTCGCTCACACCGAGCCGCGTGGCGAAGAAGGCACGACCTGGCGCGGAACGGAATCTCATGTGATGGGGACGTCCATCCGTCCATCGAGACGCGTCAACTCTCACGCTCGCTGCTCAGAACGGTCCTAATGTCTCAGGGCCGTGTTTTTAGTCTCAAACCTACAAAACGGGCTCATCACCCAGATCTGTTGAATCTGCTGGAACGACAAGCAACGAAAACAGCGTCGTTGCTTTTTTCAAGAAACTGGGATGCTCTGCTGGAATGCGCCTTAATGGGAAATGTCGTGAGCTGAAGCTCAAACAACATGCTCAAGCAAACTTGTATCTTGGTCCGGATTTCTCGACAACACGAGCTGTGGTCGTGGAGTTTCCACCATTTCCACCAGGTTTCCTGCGGATCCCAATAGCTGCTTAACTGTTAAACCAAGTCCTGCACGAGCCCAGGAGTGCGAAACACGCACAAATCGAGAAGTGTACACGTCAGGCTTTTGGCTTGGTGGAAAAGAGGCTGTCGCCTCTCCTGTAGGTGGGGCCCCGGGGGTGTCTTCTGCGTTCAGGGGTGCTTCAGGGTCCTGGGAACTTGTCTCGTTGTGCTACTTGTCTCCGTTGTGGTTTCTCATTGGTAGCGGAGCCCAGGCCGCGCCGGGGATCGTGCCTTCTTGTGTTTTCCTTGTGGTCTGTGCTGTACTGAGTTTCTTGTCTGTGTCTGTGGGGTTTAAGGAACGTAGGCCTTAGGACCCCCCCGTGTAGCCACATGGTGGCTCCGACGACCGAGCCTTCGGGTTCTCCTCCTGACGACGACCCGCCCGGTGTGGCATCTCAAGACGACGGAGGTTGGGCTCGACAGCCAAGCGACAGCTCTCCGTGGGGCAGTTGGCAGCGGGATTACTACGGTCAAGATAGCTCTGGTTGGGATTCTTGGGAGGATCAGCACTGGAGTACGGCACTGGCACTCACTTGCACGCCCGAGCAAAGATCAACGTGACTTGGCCTCATCCTGCAAAGCGAATGGGTGAGAACTAATGTTGTGTGCTTGTGAACGCTCAACACTGCACGCGCTGTGAAACTCTTTTTGGATATTCCAAATAAAACTATCTCTCGACTCACCCAAGGTGCATTTCAAGGTCGGGTACCCGTTCTGTGGGGGTTTCCCTTCGGGCACAAGCCTTTGCAAGATATACGAACGCGGTGCGTTTGGGACCTTCCACGGTCACGCGAACTCCGTTGCTGTTGCTTTCCCTCGTGTGAGAATGGCAAAGTTCTTCTGACAAATTTATCTTGGTTGCGAAGTCCCCGGTGAACAGCTTGACAGAATCGCTGTTGCATGGTTGCCTTTGCCTACGCCTGGCTAGACACAGGGGGGGCGGTAGTTCTGTTCTGCCGCGCTTCCTCCCACGAACCCGCAAGGCAAACACCCACAAAGTGTAGTCAAGAATGGGAGGGGGGTCGTCAGCTCAGATAAGCACAGGCCCTGAAAGAGACGGCAACTGCAACAACATGTTTCCAGACGCATACATGTATCCTTCAGGTCAGTCCTACATGTCGCTGCCTGCTTGTACATGAGCATGTACCTGCGAAGCGGGAATGTGTGCATACATGCAACACGTGCATCAAAACACAGGGGAGCACGGGGTTTCCCAGGCAGATGGACCTGGCAACCGGGCGACTTTGCTGACCTGAGGCTCAACAAGTTTCGGCAAACTTGCGGTTTGGTCATGACTTCTCGCCAAGATACCTTGTGGTCGTCGACCTTAAACCACGAGGTGGTCCTTGGATCCCTTGGTGATTTCAGGCTGAAGTTCAACGTCGTGGCAACTTGTAGAAGTCACCTCCTTTGGTTCCCGGCCGGACGTAAGTGTAGTAGTGGCCGTCTGCGACGTTCGAGTCGCCACTGTGGATACCGATGGATTGGAGGGCGTATTGCCTCAAAGTCGGGCACTGCCATACGTCACGGACCCTCGCGATTTGTGGTAGACACCAACAGTTCCCGTAAGCTCTAGACCCTCCTCCAGACGGGGAGAGGTCGAGGTCCTTCCAGAACCCGACTCTGTTGTTCAGTTTCACCTGGCGGCTCCAGCACGGCAGAACTGCCTGATGTGCTGTTTGCTTCCCACCATGCGTCCGCCGCGGAAGATGAAGCGATTCAAGTGCAGGATCAGGACCGGGGGGAAGTTGACAAACTGGATGCCCTGAGCAGAGACGGCAGGCTGAACACGGCCCCCTAAGCTTGCTGCATCTTGCTTGCTGCACAGGCTGCACCTTCTTTGCACGCTGGTCTCCATAGCCTTCAGCCTGGGAGTTCTCTCTGTGCCATGCCACGTCATGACACCGAGCCGTTCAAGAGCCCCTGCGCTGCAGGGCGAAAACCATAGCTGCCTAGATCAGAAGACCATGTCGCTGACACCAATCGAATGAAGCTCGACGTGAATGCAAGGTGAAGGGATTCGTCATGAGTTGCAAGACCTCTGGCAGCTCCTTTCCATGCGACTTCGAGGTCTCCAGGTGAAGCAGCTCGAAATCACAAAATCTTAAACTCATGGCCAAGCCCATCTTCGCGTCTCTACCATGGCATCCCAAATATCGACAAGCTTTTCAGGCGAGGCATCGTGTAAGGATCAACATAATTCGCCCGCAGCAGCTGGAGTTTTGTCGAGTGACGAGTCGGCACTGAGCGGCCGTTGTGCAAGGATTTCCCGGCAGAAACAGGTTCCACCGGCGCAGAGGATGCAAAAACCAAAACTCACATTGCCATCAAACAAGCACCAAACAGCTACTACGCTCATGTGCGGCCGCGGGGAAACACGAGTTCATCCCAATTCCGGGACCTCGGCAAGCCTTCTACGGCGAAAATGGCAACCTGATTGATTCGCTAACATCCTGCTGTTGCGGCCCACGATGAAGGCCGCCACGCCCAATTCATGCCACTCACGCGGCTGCACGATTGAAAAGTTTGCACGCAAAGTTGGCCGCTTCAGAATCACACGAGGTGCGGCAGATAACAAACTGGGGATGCGGCGGAGTGCAGTGAGCGCACGGGCGATTCGTCATAGACCTGCATGAAAACCATATTGTTGCACCACACTACAAACCAAGCATCAAAGCCGACGGACTGAAGAAGAACGTAGGACGCAAGTCCTCTCATTGGATGACCATCTCTTGGTTGGAGTGGACTCGGCTGATGGTATGAAATCCCAGCCTCGGAAGTCCCCACAATGAAGGAAAGTCTCGTCTGAAAAACACTATCAATCATGTCAAACCACAGGGCCCTGCATTGTCCAGACGTTGTTCCACCATTCGATGTCACCAATCCCAGACGTAGCCTTCTATGCAGCATGCCGAAGTGTAACTTTCTTCGTTATTTCGAACAATGCTTGGGCGCTACAATGGTGAGACTTGATGTGCACTGGGTACAAACGAGACAGAAGGACAAGTGCGTCTTCACGAGCTC